ACTCGAGCAACACTTGATGGGCCAGATAGATGGTGCAAAGGCTGGGTAATGAAGGGACAGAATTGCCATCAGCGTTTGAGACGCCAACAAGGCGGTGGAGGCATAATGATCTGGGGTGGTATTATTGGAAAAATATTAGTAGGCCCATAGAGAGTACCAGATGGCGTCAAAATGACTGCTGATGCATACATAGCGTTTATGAAGGAGCATCTTGAACCGTGGATGAAAAGGCAAAGAGTTGACTTCAGAAGGGCCATTGTTTTATGCAAGATAATGCTCCCTCACTTGCTGCTGACAAGACTACTGAATATTTGAAACAGTTAGGCTTCGATGGACCTCGAAAAATGAAGTGGCCAGCAAATTCTCCGGATTTGAACTAAATCGAAAACTTTTGGAGCATCATGAAGCGAAAACTGTATGCCAACAGATGACAATTCAGGAGCAACGCTGAGTTGTGGGAAGCAATTCTTGACATATCTCGTGGCATTACAGCAGATGACATCCTACAATTAACAAATTCTATGGATCATTGACTTCTTCAAGTAATTTCAAAATGGGGAAAGCACATTCCCTATTAATTTGTTGAAAACTGTGCGTTTGTTTGTATCTGTTATTATTTGTTTGATTATCTTATTTATTAGCTTCTTTTGATCATAAACATTCACGTGCAACATTAATAAACGTTTTGTTTGCTCAATTCTGGGAATTTTACTAAACCTTTCTTATAATTTGGCACTCTCAAATCACCATGCTGATAACAAATATGGCACCAGTTTGTTTATATTGCGCAGATCAATACAAAAATTTCAGTTATTGCGCAGGTCAGTGTTTCAAACATTGTGTGAAAATTTTGTGTGAATTAATTGGACGGTTTTTGAAATATTAGAAAAAAAAGTTATCTCGATAATAACTTGGCACGCAGTGTATATATATGCTTTATATATATATATATATATATATATATATATATATATTAATTATTTATTTGAAAATTACAACAAATTTATTTGTTATAATTTTTGAATAAATAATTATATTCGCTTTACTCTGTATTGAGCACTGTTTTAAGAATTGTGATTGTTGGTTATTCAAATTTATTCTGTATACTCCAATCCTATTCTTGTATGTGTGTTTTTATATATATATATATATATATATATATATATATATATAAAATCCAATATTATTTCTTATTTATTACTGTCAATGTTATTGTTAGTGCATACACATGTTTGAGTTGCTATACCTGTATTTTACAAGAACAGTTTTTACAGCAGTGAATGTAGAACACAAAAACATAGCAGCAGGTAAAGATGGTAATGCTATATGTATGGTAGGATTGGTCCTCTATTAGCTCTTTTCAGGAACCAAACATTTGATTTGAACAAGGATTGTTCCCATTTAAAACAAATTGAAGACAGTAATTGATGAAAAGTCTTAGCAGTTTACAGAAAGGGGTAATATTCCATCAAGATAACACACTAGAACACATTTTTGGTGATCACACAAGAACGGTAATAGTTTGGCTGGGAAGTTATTTATTCATCCAACGTATTCACCAGATGTTTTGAAAATTATTCCAATTTTTAGTGAATACTATTAATGAAAAAGGGGAAAAATAAATCCTGAATGACTGCAAAAATGCTTCAAGAGCATTTTTTTATTTTTTATTTTTTTTCTCTCAGAGAAAAGTTCTATAGGATGGAGTTGCTTAAAAGAAAGCGGGACAAAACTTTTACTTAAACCAAACTTCATTTTTCAAAGAAAATATTTCTACCAAATTAAATTTAGTTACATAATACCTACTATTTATGAAAATTAGCAATTTCTTTTTTCTTTTTAAATTTTCATCTGAGTGGAGATGTCTTTTGAGATTTGATTAAAATTTCTCTTTCTCAGCCCATTCACATTCTATTACAATAGATGATTTTGATACAATAAATTTGATTGAGCATTTTTATTTTTCAGATATCTTGATTTGGACGTCCTCTCGTGAATAAAAAAAAAAAAATCTATACATTGTATTTTATTAACAAAAGGACTGAAAGGCTTTCAACATTTTCAGAAATGAAAGTAGTTATCTATGATGCCACAAAGGTTTTAAGGTTGTTCTGCCTAAATATATGAAATTTTGTATTTTTCTGTTTTTATATTTAGTAAACTAATCTAACAAATATGTAAAGAATGTATGTTTAACTCAATGTAGAACCTAGATTAATGAATTCCCTCTCCCTGACTACTTACAAAATGGTAAATAAATAAAAATTTCAAAGGTTTCTTACAGGAGATTCATAAGAGCAACTTAATTATATTTACAATGACTTTTCATTACTGATAAAGTTGAAAGATTAAAACCTAACAACAAAATATAAAAAAAAAAGAGAAATATCAATAAAAGGAGATAACAATTTGTCGTTGCTCATTATGGCTTTTTAATTGTTAATAAATCTATGACTTATGATGTTTTAAATATTCAGACATTTTTATTTATTTATTTATTTTTTTTTTTTTTTTTCAAATTTTGCTTAAACTATAGTTCTTTTTTTATGTTGTTATTATTGTTACTACAATATTTTGGCTGTTCCATTCTACAGCCCTATTTAGGTAAATAATTTCTAAGAGGAGAAATAAATTTAATTTTAAATTACTTTATCACCTCCTTAGACAAAGTTTCTACTCTTGTTTAATATTTTTGTAGACAATTTTTTACACTTTTTCTTTTGCATGAAAATTTGTTTGATAAGCAGTTTTAATGTTCACTATTGTTTGCTTCCCATCAATCTTTCTCCATCGTCGTTGTTGATGATTCTTTTATACATCGCATCAGTTGATTTTCCTGAACCAGTTTCTTTTAACATAAAATCGTTTTTGTTTAGAAGTAAAGGGAGATGTTTCAAAAAGAAACAAAAAATCCTTGATTACTAAATTATTTGTTCTAGAAATAGCTGTTTAATTACCTGTTAGCTTTATCTTGATTCTTTAATTTGTGCAATTTTCAATGTGCTATGTGTCACTCTGGGGGGTTACGGAGTTTAGAATCTTCTTTTTCTCATCAAGGTTAGGACAGATTGACAAAAGTGTGCCGAGAAAAAGCAAAATGTCTGATAATAGAAACAGAATTTAAGAATACATTTCAATTCTCATAGTATACTAGTTTAATAAATTCTATCAAAATGTTACTTGTAACAGTGTTACTAGTTTACAAAGTACAGACAAACCTCTCATCTAAAGAGATTGGTTCTAATTTTGAGATTTGTTGACATTGCAAATTTTGTTTGAACAATTGAACTCTTATTTCTATCTCTCTCTCCATGCTCTTGTCGTTATCAATAAGGTAACAACAACAGCATGAAGATTTTCCTCTGCCTATATGGATTATACACTTGATGAAGAATTGATTTGCTGAAATGTAACATCATCAGGAATACAAAGAATTCAATTGTCCAAACAAAATTTGTAATCATAAGTTGATTTGTGGCAATTTGGTAATTTGAAAGCAAATTATTTTCACTTATGTAACTGTTGGTTTTGTGTTCTACTTGTCTGCATCTTGTGAGTTAATTCTGATATATGAACCTGTGCAACAGACTGGGTGAAAAGGTAGTTATTGTGTTAACCATTCTTCCCAGAGCAAACTATGAAGGAATTTGATATGCTGTAGGTTTATTTTCTTACTCTCTTCTGTTTCCTTATTTATATTTTAATATGGGTGACAGATTTTGTCACTTATTTGTTTAGTGTTTCATTTGAATCTTTTCATTTGAATCCAATAAATGAAAAGTTTTCATCCATACCAATATGTTACTAATGCTTACTGTTATGATAGCTTCATAGTGATGGAGTAAAATTGGTAATATCTTCTTTTTTTTTTTTTCTTGGCTATTTTAGAAAAATCCTCTTCAGTTTGATTGTTATACAAAGTTACAATATGTTTGTATAGACAAATTGAAAGAGCTTATGGTGGGGAAACAATTTTACTGTTTAAAATTTATTTATTCCCGCCACTTGAGTTGTTAAGTATAGCTCAAGAAAAAAAAGGGCCAATCAAAAGGTTAGCTTTCATCCATGGGCCAAATAGATCGGTTAGCATGAATTCTCAGAATAAAGGCTTAAAAAAAGTCAAATTCACAATTACTTTATTTGTACTTGAAAATATTTTATTTTCAAATTTATACATAATAAAATTTAATTTTTATTTTTAACTTTTTTTTTTTTTTTTTTTAATCTGTGAATTTCATCTTTGTAAATAATAGAAGTTTAATGTGTTTTGTTGGCAAGTTCTGATATGTTGCTGCTACTGATCTGATGGCTTTTAGTGTTTTATCTGCCATAATTACACTATATAGATGCTCATCCAGATGTTGCTTGAAAGGATTTTTACCTGGTTTGCTCTCTTAAACAAGGATGAAGTCTATGAAATGGGGAGTTTTGAGATATCATGTTGCTACTTCACATTTTGAGAGAGAGCAATCAGGCAAAAAAACCTCAGGTAACAAGTTACCAAAAATACTTGTGAGAAGGAGAAAGGAACACTGTGAAAAGTAAAGCCTCACTGCATGCACTATTCGAAATATCAGTCTCCTTTTTACTTTAGAATAAGCTTGACTTATCTGCTTAGTAATACGGTGCCTGCTAGTAGGCAAACAATAACATACAGTTAGGGTATCGCTTCTCTTTGCCAGTTAATACTATCAATGTTGAAGAATATGAATTTTGTATTCTGTTTTACAAACTAATATAGATGATCATGTGGAGCCTTTATTTTATTCCATCTTAAGTCATCATTTGAATTCCCTGATTTGAGAACAAAGGCAAAATCTTTTTTCATTCTAAAGACCTACACATTCTGGCTCAATGTTTCAATTCCAGTTTAGTCCCAGTTCAGCTGTACATTTTCCTACCAAAAATGATAAACCTACAGTGGAAATCTCAACAGAGGCTTCTCCTTCTCTTTCAATGATACCAAATGATGAACCTGTGCACATCTCTTCTTATTACAGATATATTGGCCAAAAAGATTCGGTAACAATAAGTGTCTGGAACCATAAGAAAATCCACAAGAAGCAAGGTGCTGGCTTTTTAGGATGTGTGCGAATTATGTCAAATACAATCCAGCAATTGAAAGACACTGGCTGTAAGTATATTTTTTCCTTTTTCTTTCCTGCCTCATTTTATTAGACACAAAATCGATATTTTGTGTGTCTTTTTATGTTTTGTGTGTGTGTGTGTGTGTGTGTCTCTCTCTCTCTCTCAAGCTAAAATTTCTATTAATCTTATAAATACTTCAGATGTTGGATAACCAGTTTTAATAAGTAAGCATAAATGATTTGTAATAGATAAAAATAAAAAAAACGTAAAGTGTTTGGGATGGGGGAATATCAAATACCAAAAAAGTCTTGTGAAGAGAAAGAAAAATTTCTGATAAATCTGATTTTTGTTAAACATGGAAAATATTTTCTCGAATACAATCACAGGTGAACAGGAGGAGGATTACAAACTCCTGTCTTCATTTTGTGCTGTTGACAATTTTTCAAAATTATGATGTCTAACTTAGGTTACATCTTTTAACAAGGAACAACAGTTTTTATTAATGTAAAATTTCATAATTTCTTTTAAACTTATTTCATTAATTTTCACACAAAGTTTAGAAGGGTAAATATCAAATTTTATCAAAACTTGTACTGTCGTAAGACAGCAGTAAAATCATTGGGAAGAAAAAGAAAAAGTATTAAAATATTTGCTTTCTCTCTCTCACTCTGAGAATTGATGCTAATTTATAATGTCATGCCTGACTACTCTTTTCTTTCTCACATAAAGATGAGTAAGCCATAATTAAATCTTTAACAAAAGAACATTCTTCTTTTTTTCTCTGTAAGTTACAAACTATTGCTTTTCTTTTCTATTGTGTTGTTGAGGAACAAGTATTTTTAAAGTGAATTTACAGACTTTTCTCTGAAATTTAAGTTTATAGTTCAAAGATATGAAATAAATAATAAAACCCCAAAATAAACTCTGCCACATTTTAATGAGGGGTGAGGATACAATTTAGCAGTATTCAGTTGAAATATGATCGTGATAATAGTATTAATTTGTATAAAAAAATTATTGATTAGTTTTTATGGTTTAATCCAACTATTATTTCATTTTCATGTTATATTTTCTAATTTTCTGAGAATAAAAAAGAAAAGAAATTAGTTTGTTTTTCCTCTTTTGATATTTTCTGTAGTGTACAGGCAAGTTAGAAGGAAAAAATATGCATTAAGATGGTAATTTTATACATTTCCCTTGTCTTGAAAAAAAAAAATTTTGCCTTGCCTTTCTAGCATTCCTTTGTGTTTCACTTTATTGTGCAATTGATGGCAGCCTTTTGAAGAAATATTTGCAAAAGATTATCTTGTATATGACAGGAGTCAACAATTTTGGAATGGAATATTCAATAGTAATCTTTATTTTATTTTTCACTAAGTCAGTTTTTGGTAAAGCTTAAAAATGAGAGAAAGACTCTGAGACTGTCTCAACCAACTGGTATTCTACATTCTCAATATATATTTTACAAAATGTCTGTAGATCTGCTTTTAAAGAATATTCTCAAAGTAGTTCACTGGCTCTAAACATTTTATAAATAAGCATGCAAATATATTTGGTGGATGGAAAAATTATTATATTCAAATTAATTGAAATAAAATCCTGGTTAATTATGAAAAATAACTTGTGATATTGCTGCTAGGTGATGGAAACACAAAGATATTTTATTTATTTATCTGTATCAGTTACAAAACTTGCATTTTTATTTCTTTGAATACATTGAATTGAGTAGTTTCATTGTTACCCCCTCCTTTGTGTGTGTGTGTGTATATATATATATATATATATATATATATATATATATAAAAATACTTTTGCTGTTGGCATTGTTGAATATGATTTAAAAAATCCAAATTAACAAAATGAGTGTTTAATTGGCCACATGTTTCTGCAGGGATGTGTGAGGTCTAGCAGTTACTATTTTGGAGTTATGAAATTGGAAATAGATGTCTTTATTTATATATAAATTTTCTATGCGTCTCTGAGAAATTAATTTGTTTTTAGTTTCCTCAAGAAATTTCTCTCTTTTTTTTTTTTTTTTATTTATTTATTGTACAACAAAAGAAAGAAAAGTATTCAACATATTTTTATCCCTTTGCTTAAGGAAGTGAATAGTTTGTTTTTTTTTTTCTTATTTAACACAAGAAATCTACAGTAGATTTCTAAATGGTGATATATAATGTAGAATTGGGATGGAATCTAGAAAATAAATTATTTTTCCTTTTCCATTGATAGATGAAAAAAAACTTACGATAATTTCCTTCTTTCTAAATATATAGCAAAATAAAGCTCACTTGTAAGTATTTATGAATTGGTTTAAATGTGAATGAATGAGCATTCTGTATTTAGCAGCTTGCAGAGAGTTGTGTGTGAATGAGAGAGAAAGAGGAAGAATTTGGAGGTTTTAAAACCTCCCTACTACTATCTACTCATCCAATCACTCAGAAAACACAAGTTGGTTGCTTAACTACTAAACATTGCTTGTGAATATATGAAACTAGGAGAATTTGAAAAGACTTACTGTGTTTTCACTATCCTATTAAGAGTTCATTATTCTTTATAAAGAGATTCTTTTTGTTTATTACTCAGTTGTTCTCCTCAAAGTTAAGATTTGATATTCAGTATTTGACTGTGGTTGGTTTGCTCACTTAAAGGTGAAAATAGATAAGTGACAAAAAAGAAATAAATTCATTACCTTATATCAATTTTAGGTTAAAATATAAACTGAAGTGCAAAAAAAAAAAAAAATAGACTATTACTTATTATGTAGCTCTGCCTCTTCACCTGAATAACAGAGACTGGAGTCAGATATACATATCTATCCAAGCAGATTCCACAGTTGAATTGGATTTTTTTGAGTATGCTGGAAAGAATTAAGTGAAATCTGCAACGTGTCTTATACATGCTCAATGGGGTTTTAATCTGGTGAGTACAAGAGCCATTTGAGTAGTCTGGGAAATTAGCCGAATGAACCTCGAACCAGTTTTGTATCTGCCACACCACACAGTAGGGGCTGTGTTAACTTATTGGAACAAAATCACCCCCTGAGAAACAGGGTGAGTATAAAGAGGTACAAATAGTCTTCAACAATATCTGTGCCTGTTGTACCCTCCCTCAAAACTGACTCTAGTTTAATTACTGTTCTTTTCAAATGCCACACCCTGCTGACAGGCTGCATCCTTAGTTTTATGTACTCTTCTCTACTCTACTCTTTCAAAGTCAATGTTAATGTCACTTGTCTGACTAGACAAAACAGTATTAGTTTTCACTGTTTGGTGATGTTTTCTGGCTTAAGTGAGCTGCACTAACAATAATAACATAGTCAATAATAATAATAATATTTTTGTTGGAATGCAGTGTAATACAATACATTGATGAGTAGCCACAGTGTTGAATTGGGATGTGATTTGATTCAATGTTCTCCCTCTGTTGAGTGACTATCATCTTTGTCAGTCACCAGCTCTCCTATTCTTGCATCACCTTTGCCAGCACTTTTTATATGTTGCTGATGTTTGTCCAGAGTTTACCTATTTCTAGTATACTGTGGCTACTGTTGCTCTCTCTCAGTGCTCTATCTTTCTAGACCCCCCCCCCGGTCAAGTGGTGTTAAATCTTGGCAGCATTTCATTAATGCCACAGCTATACTACTTCTTTACCTATTATGTTATATATACATCATCTTGCTGGTTCAGTTTCTACAAATGGCATAAAGTGAAACTATCTAGTACACTGTTATAATTTTGTGGTACTTCACTTTATTTAATGAAGTGTTTAATTTTTTGCCTTGTTAACTTCATAGAAAAAAAAATCTCCATATTCAGTTATATTAGTTAATATACACTTTGCTCTCCAGAACATTAAAACATATATATATAATCTAAAAAACACTAATTTCTGTAGGAAATATTGCTCTATAATCTTTCATTCTTCATATTACTTAGAATGCAAAAAAATGATTTTTTTTTTTTTAAATCTACTTTTTTAAATTTTCTAATTTAGTTTCCTTTTTAATAAAACTTGTTTATTCAGAATCTTATGAGCCTAAAATTTCAAGTCACTGCTACCCTCACTTCGTTTAACAGTTTCCAGTATTCATGTCTGTCAGATGTTTTTTCTTTCATTAACCTGTTGAATCCTAAGACATGACCACTTGCTGATACACTGTCCTTGAGCATTTGGGATAAATTTTGCTATAAGAGAACTGCATGTCACACAGACAGTTCTTAAATACTGAAATTTACCCAAAATTAGCAATTGTTTGTACAGAGTTGCTCATCCAAACAGCCTTATTGTACTTACATGATAGGTTGTGTAGTTCTCACTTTTCTTTTTTTTTTTTTCCATCCCAGTCTTGATAGTAGGTAGATCCTCATTTACTGAAAGATAATGGTGGCATTATTCACATCTGATTGATTTTGATTGGCATTTCTTAGCCATCTTTTTACAAACACAAAATATTTTGAAGCTATGCCTTACAGTAGGTATGGTCAATACTTTGCTAAAAAAAAAAAAAGAAGCATACCCTGATGAAAAAAGGCCCCAAACTTTGTTAAACAATTTATCGTCTAAATGTCTGTTATTATTAAGAGGGAAGACTAAAGTATTTTTGAAATTTTTTTTTTTTTTTTTTTTTTTGTTAGCAAAATTTACATAAAATCAATCATCAAGCCATTTTTGACAATTTTTAAAACAAGTGAAATTTTGCGTTTAAAAATCATGTAAAATTATACTTTTTTCAAAAGTTATTTTAGGAAAATCAAAAGTTAAAGTATACTTAATGTAATTGGAAACAAACATTACTTTATTTTTTAGCAGAAAAAATTGTAAGAGAAGTATGTCTAACTTTGATGATTGGTTTCGGAGGTGTGAATTGACGTTTATGTATTGACAACTAAAGTCAGGGCAATTTTTCGGATGGAAGGGCAGAAGTGACAGTATAAAAAAGAAAAAAATTAATAATTGCAGTATGTCTCCCATTGAAAAAGAAAAAATTGATTATATTTAAAAAATGAAAAAATATTTAGTGAAATATGTAGAAATAGATCTTTT